CACAATTCTATACAAAGTAAATTTATAGCTTAATATATTTTACATGTTATTTATCAGGTTGTGTAATGGGATCAGAGTGCAGTGTCTACAAAGACTATGAATTAGAAGAGCCWATAGAATGTTCCAGTACTGAGTGGRTCCTTTACCCAGCACATAGCAAAGACAACACTGCTGTACAGAGAGTCACTGTGTTTGTACATAAGAAAAGCAAAAAAGAAAGAAAACGGGACAAAAATCAGTCTGTAACAAATGCATATCAGGTGAGTACATTACCTGGGGTAAAGGACAACAGGGAAGATTGTATTGCAAAGAGATTAAAATTAATATTGTGTAACCATGTACATGTATACCATAGTATAAACATACTAAATTAAATGGTCTGTCACTCATACTGCACTGTGATTGGTTACTCTACTAATGGTCTAATTTGTGATAGACGACTCGCGGGAAAATCAATCTCATTAATAAATTATTTTAAGGATATTTCAATTTGTTTTCATTATTTGACTGATTGGTATGTTTATACTAAAACAATTAGACCTCTTGGCCTTGTGGACTACAAGCTAATAGCCTATCAGCTCGTAGTCCACTCAACCTCGAGGTCTAATTGTTAATTATAACTGATGGTGTGGAAAAACTAGTTCTTAGAGTGCTTGACTAATGTGGGATCTTCATGACTTTGTAAACTTTATACTTATTATCATTATGATTGAGATAATTATGATAAATGTAGCATGCGAAAAAGGCTTCAGTTGATAAATATTGACTTTTTGTTTTTACTTTGTATTCAGTTTTTAAAAGTTTTACGACATCCTGGTATATTGAAATATTACAGCTCCTACGACAATGCTGAGCTTGTTATGGTTACAGAGCCAGTGGAGCCTTTAGMAAATGTTTTGAATTCACTTGATGTGGATGAAATTATTGCTGGYCTGAATAACATTGTTCAGGCATTAGTTTTCTTACATGAAAAGGTATATTTATACAGTACATTTTGCTGAAATTCTGTGGTTGTTTTCTAGACTTTGATGGGTTATAATACAGTCAAGTCTCGCTATTACGGATACCCTTGGGACCGTAATTTAGTGTCCGCAGTAGCGAGAGTCCGTAGTAACAAGCTAGTAGTACTTTCAGTCATTTTTCTGTATTTTTTGGCGGGATTCATTATTTTAAAGAGTTGACTGTAATATGTTATTGTTTTGTATTTTTTGTAAAATTTCATTATTCTGACCCTTCTTCAAAGTATAAAAGATAGGAAAGTCATCATATAATGTCAGATAAAGTTTGTTAAGCTATTATCATCTATTTGTTGTTATTTTTAGGGTGGTTTGTCACACAACAATGTTTCTTTGTCTTCRATATATGTGAGCAATAATGATGGCAGCTGGAAGCTTGGTGGGATGCAATGTGTTTGTAAACCAGAACAATTTAATAATAAGGTAGATGTAACATAAGACCAACCTTGCTCACCACTGACTAGCCCCTAGTCTCCTCTGCAGCCATTCCTTTGGCCAAGTTTCCAGGAGGAGGTCTTAAAAGGAAACCAAAAAGTCTTCTCAGCAATTCAGTGTTTGGAGTCTCAAGAAAACAGAAAGAAATATTTTGTCTGTCTAGGGTTCAGACTTTTGATTCTGTGTGCTAACCTTTTAAAATTGCCTAGTTACTATTCATTTCCATGTCAATCAATAGAATATTATAGTATTGTATCATGAATACAACAACATGTTTTTGAGACAATTACTAGACTAAACATTTTTCCTAAATTTAAATGGTTCCTATATTTAGTTCCTTGAGGATATCAAGCCATTAAGAGATTTGAAGTCCATTGCTCCAGAAGAACAAGCTGGCAGTGTCTCACTTACTGCACAAACACTTCACACTATTGATGCTTATGGATTTGGCATGCTYGTCAATGATATTCTGGATTATAGAGATGATATAGGTAAATAATATCAGTTATTCTTTAATGTATGGATAGTTCTCATCAAAAGTACCTATATATTTTAATTAATATATTTTTCCTTGGTATACATTCTTGCATATCTTGYTTATTCTCTAAAGGATACAAATGAGTAAAAAATTGTTTTTACACACTCAGTAACAATTTTTTCAAGGATGGCTAATGTTTTAATCTATAGAATACATAATTATATATTAATTAATGATTTTAAATTAAACACCTCATTTTTCTTTAATCAATGATATTCTGTACATGTCTACAGGTGAAAATGCCTTTTTAAAGTTTKCTGATGTTATTCAGAGCTCATTCCTACATCAAGACCCAAAGGTAAAAAGAGTAAATATGTATGACCTAGTGTAGTGTCATACTCTGTATTATTTGACTTTTCACTGACATTTGTCTTTCTGTCCAACAGCTAAGACCTAAATTRTGCACTCTTTTGGATGAAGAATTTTTCAAGTATGTTGTTACATGCCTATTATGATTGCAAGATAATGAATTGTAATCATGAGTCGTTTAATGTTATAGGAATGATTACTTGGATATATTATCCTTCCTGAGTAACATTACCATTAAATCAGACATTGATAAAGACAAGTTCTTCAGGTAATTTTCGTAAATCAGTAATTCACTTCCCTTCCATTTCCTTCTCCTCTCTTTTTGTTTCTTTCCCTTCCCTTCCATCCACTTCTTCTCCCTTCTCATTTCTCTTCTCTTTTTCTCTCTTTTGACATATTTTCTCTTCCTTTCTTTCATTCTTCTTTTCTCCCTCATATTTGACTGACTTCTAGATCCTTCACTTTTCATACTGCTAGTATATTGTACTTGACATTATTGTTGTAACATTTTTATGGTTTCAATTTCTTTTTTAGCTCTTTGGCTTCCAAACTRCGCAATGTCTCATCTACTGTTATAGCTACCAGGCTATTACCTAAATTGATGTCAAGGTTTGTCATGGCAGAATCCAGTGCTGAAAAGGAATTCTTGCCTCATCTTCTAACGCCAGGCACTGGTGAGTAATTACATGTACCTTGTCCTTTACAAAGGACAGTACTTTGAAGTTACATTCAGGACTCTGCATTATACATGCAAAACAGTGTCTCTGTCTCTTGACTGAAATGCGTGTGACAAAAACGTATAAAACAGAACATGTAAGAGACAATGTTTCTCAATAGGATGAGAGRATAAATTAATGTTATTTTTATCTTCAGCTGTCATAGAGAATGAGTCAGAGTCCATCTTTCCTGTCTTATCATTGGATTTATACAAGTATGTACAAAACATTATTTTTAAATGAATATTAACAATATTAGTAAAGGAAAAAGTAAATCAGTTGACTAGGGACATGAGYAGAAAGTATTAGTATTGTTTTCATTAATATTGTTTGTTTTTTATTGTGAAATAAAGTCTGGATTGCTCTTCTCTGCATGTGAACAACTGCTTAATATGTTAAACTTTCTGTGTTATTATATTTCAGGAAATATTGTGTTCCTATCTTGTTCAAACTATGGGCAGTCAAGGATCTTCATATTAGAATCATTCTATTAAAATATTTCCCTCTATTTGCCAAAGCCTTCGATGTAGAAGATCTCGAACAAATCATTTTACCACAGGTAAATAAATATAGAGTTCTTTGCTGGCAACTCATTTCTCTCTGGATTTCTGTGTGAATTAGACACACAGGAAGTCCAAACAAGTCCATTGGAGTAGACAGTAGAAGGGGCTATAAACAGGTCCTTGGTCCTATGCCCTTTTTTGTGATTTCTACACTATAGCAAGCTTGACAGTAGTATCATGTATCTGTTATTATTATTCTAGATATTGATAGGTCTGCGTGATACCAATGATACTCTRGTGTCAGCTACATTCTTTGCCCTTGCCAACCTGGTGCCAATACTTGGTGGAGAAGTGGTAGTTGGTGGAGAAAGACAAAAGTGCTTTAAAGAGGGCAGACCTAAGGTAAAGCTTGCACAATCAAACAGTGAAAAAATGGCAATGATATTAATTGGTAATTGTGATAATGATTTTCTTTAGTACACAAGTATTTTGATATAATTTGATGTAAGTGATTTTTGTTTTTAGTTCAGTCTTGGTTCATCACCAAGTCCACAAATCAACCAACATAGGAAAATAAGTAAGTACTATTGACTTTGTTATGGGAAAACTTCTGTACACAACACAGTGCATACTGCTTTAAAAAATCACACTTGCTAAGATTTTGTAAGACTGCTGAATTTATAGTAGACACAAGATAATAGTCACATCCTCCCTGACACAGCAGCAATATTATAAGCTGCTTACAGCAATGCAAAACAAACAAAAAAATGAAATTTTTCATAATATTTCCAGGTTCAGGAGAAACAGGACGAAAGAGCATCACCAAGAAGAAGAACCCTTTGCATGCTTCTGATGCACTAAACATGCAAAGACTTCCCGAGTCACCCCCTCAAAGTAAGACTGAATATCCTTCCAAGACAAAAGGTGAAAAGGAAAAGGGAAGAATTGGAAGAAAAAAGGACACTGATGCAAAAAAGAATGAAGTAAAAGAAGAAAGAAGGGAGAAATCATCAAGGACTCTTCTTCAGTTAGCAAAGGAACATAGTGAAAGTGCCAGTACTGAAGACAAGGAGA